AATCTAGACTATATCAGAAGTCTAGCTAGAACTTAGAAGAGTTAAGTATAAACTGGAACTCTAGCCAAACTAGGTGTTTTCTGAAATTTGTTAAAATTTCGCTAAGTATAGTATAACTATTTTTTAATCGGCTATACGGTGTTAGTTCAATAGTTAGTGGCTATCCAGAAAGCCACCACGCAGAACTCTGAACCCGCCCGCAGAGCAGAAACATGCCGTAGTCGTAGGAAAATTTCCGAGATTGGTGGAAGGACTACTGGCGTTTGGGGAAGGAGGAGCATTATGAGCTGACATGAGAGTGGCTCAAGTAGATTCTGGAAGTCAAGTTTTACCGCACCATTTTTGCGAAAGAATGGAGTGAGAGTTATATGCCCTTCAGCAAGGGGCCGCTCGGTAGAGGAGTACGAGCACGATTTTGCTTGTAAGAGCGCGTTTGTTCGTCTCCTCATCGATACAGAGGAGAAGAAAGAAATCATTAGTTTTTTTTTTTTCAGAACGACCTGAGGAGCGATATTCGGATTCCAGTGGCCAACCATGGCTACAAAAAACAATTTTTAGCTATAAATCAACATTTTCAAAGGATAGATTACAGACATTATGGAAAAGCGTGATCATCGTACACACGGTTATAGAGATCGTGTGACGAGCCACATTGACAACAAATCAAAAAAGAGAGAGAAACCACTCGAGATTTCTTAACGAATCAGTGTTGGAAATGTTAAAAGAAGAATAAGTCGATAGATATCAGTACATAGTTAAGACAGTGGACTTTTCATTGTCTAAACTATGTACGCTTGAGTGAAGTTCTAACTCTAGAGATTGCCTCACTTAAAACTGGCAAGATGCCTTCAAGCAAGTATAAGAAGCGAGGGTTTCAGTGTATAAGAGTCATAGGTCTGAGTAAGTCCTGGAGGCTTGAAATAAAATCCATAAGTCCGGGAAGAACCATGGAGGCTTGAAGCTGAACCATAGTAGACATGTTCCCGTATGAGGTAATCTCTAGTAGTCAAAGAAGGAAAAGATCGAGTTTAACAGAAACAAGAGCAAGGATCGCATGTTAAATCACGATTTGACACCACGACGACTTACTCGTCGTTTCAAAAAAAAAGCCATCACCCACGGAAGATTTCGATAGTATAAAAATGCACAAACAACAGTCCGTAACAGCCACCAGTGGATCCAACAAAAGCCACGTGGGAGATTGCAACAACCATAATTCAAGAAGAAGAACCAACCCCGCGCAGGGAAAGTTGAAGATAATCTGTTCAGGAAGACGAAGACCTATAAATTACGCGTTCATATACTGACAGGGAAATTTTTAGAAGTCGTGATTAAAGAACATGTCACTATCAATGCTCGGAGAGTTAACCGTTGTTCGCAATCGTGTGACATATTTTCATACATATTATCGGGAAGACAACTTGACCGAAAGGTGGAAGTCAATTGACTAGGTGCCAGAATAGGACCAGTGTTAGCAGAGCCAAACGCATGAGACGTCAAGAAGCTACGAGCGCTAAAGACCCAAATCCGAATTGGGAATTCTTGGACCAAGCGCGTCACTTTATAGTGCGCCGACGGTTGAGAAAGAAAAGAATATGTGCACCCATTATCGAAAGCTAAGTAGACTCAAGGAGGAGAGTAAGTACTCACCTTCGAGAGCCGAAAAATTGTTGACCCCATGCCGAAAAACTGCAAGTTCCAAGATTTACTTGAATCTCGGACATCCTCCACCAGAAGTCGAGGGACCCGATGCCTCAAGATTAGAAAGCACGTAAAAGTTGAGGTGATGAAATCATCTCTATGTGTTGGTGGTGTTTCGACATCACTAGTTTTAGATGAGGCTTGAAGAAAAAGAAATTATGAAGAAACAGATAAGTAGTCAGCGTAAAGATAACTTGAGAGAGTTGCCTAGCGAGCAATGTAGAAGTATCCTCAACAACAGAGAACAGTATTCCAGTATTAAGCTGAGACATAGTGTAAAGAAGAGCAACTTTGGTAAAAGAAAGAGAGAACAAAGAAGCCTTAATAGTAAGACTTTAGCACCCTTGGGTAAATTTTACCCCATTTAAGCAGTAAGGTACTCAGTATCTACTAAAAAGGCAGATAGATCCGAGCACAACCTGCGTGCATTAGCACGTATCTGGAGCGCATACCAATGTTTCGCGCTCTTGTCCCATTTTTGCCCTATCATTGGGGCAGAACCACCGAGTGCGTGCCCGTGCACCGAGTCCGACCGAGCCGCGCCCCTGCGCTCTGCCCAACGCCTGTGCGTCCGTCAAATCTACCAGTCAACGCATCGATTCCGTTAGCCGTGGCCCAAGCACGCCCCTGCGTCAGTGGCCGTGGTACCATTCAAAATTGTACGTCGCAGTACAATAAGGCTACTAACGTAAATCATGGACGCAACCGTGTTCGTGATTGCAGGCGACTCTGACACTGACAAGTACATCATACGCAGGTACCGCATACAGGTGTTTCGCGCCCGTGGGCCCTGGGTAGTGGGTAAACCGCATGTGGCATACCGCACGCAATGTGCAGTTTCATCAGGAGCCGAGTCACGATGAGTCGAACGACACTTATTAGTTGTCCTCATCAACTTTACAGATCCATGGATAATCAGAAAAGAAGCTCAAAACGTTTAAAGGCTTGAGTTCTGAATGACAAACCCGTTTAGAAGAAGGATTTGCTACTAAAGCAGTTAATAGAAAAGAGTAGACATGACACCGTACGTTTTAGTATGGATACGAGTGTGGATCGCTGACATACAAGAAAGAGATAGCGAGAGAATATTTTTCGGTCAATAGTAGACCGACAGACAAGGGAGTGGAAATCAATGATCCATACAAAAGACTAAGAAAACCCTGAACCGGCGAAAGTCGCGTACAGGCCAGCAACAGAAAGACTTTCAGACCAGTGAGTACCGCAAAGTGACCTGAAGGTCACAATCGAAAAGAAAACAAATGCTTCGTTACCCCAGCTATGTACAACATACAGCTGAGATGGTAAGCTAATAGGGCTTTGCCGTCGAAATTTTCGGGAAATTTTTAGCAAATTTCTCCACGTCTCGAGTTTGAGTCGTAGTACTTGAGCTCGACCACGTGGAAAACTTAGACGAGTCTCACGTTGATCCGAGTTTACTCGTGAGGTAGTACCTACGACCACCTTGTGGCGGAAGGTACGCTAGTTAGAGAGCCGAGAAGTAGGCCTTTTTAAGTCCAGGAGTGCCGCCATAGAGATCGATTCCACCAAGATAATAGATGAGCTTCTTTTGAAGTTTCTAAGTATAGTTTTTAAAAGTTTTGTCTTGGATTCTATCTAAGGCACATAGTGAATTTTGGCGACCCTCCATGGCGAACCATTACCAGCGAGACCAGTTTATGACCGGAGCAGACCTATACAGTATCCAGATAGAGACCCTCAGTTCTTGAACTTGGGTTAACGGTGTATAATAGTCAAAAGCCGGGTAAATTATGGAGGCTTGAAATAAGAGTCACTAGTCCGGATTTACCTGGGGGCTTGAAGCCGGAGTTGCCATGGCAAAGCCAAGATCACTAGTAAGAAGAACACAAAATTCAAGCTTTTTTTTTTCGAAACGATAGATGTATTATAAGCTCAAACAAACGTACAAAGTTCAAATACATACAACGGGCCAAACCCGAAAATTAAAACTGGGAGGACACGCTTCAAGCGGCCTAGACAATCGATAAAATCAACTATCCTATGTAATACTCTCCACTGCAGAATGCCTAGAGAGTTAACAAAGGAATCAAAGAAAACAAAACATAGCTGCAAGACCTAAACTGAAAATACAAGAAAAGACAAACTGCCAAATTACAAACAATCTAAATTAGCAAACTCCAACCATTCCTCTTGAGCTGATTTTATAATCACTTGAGCAGGTAACGATTGTTTATGAAATAGCCATATATGCCGTGTCTTCCACAACCACCAGAGCAAATATGTTGTGAGTTGGATACGGGCTTTGGCCAGTTGAGAAGTTCCCATTGAGCAAATATTATTCCACCAAGTTCTAAAAGAGGAAACAGAGCTGATACCTGTCAATGTAATTGGTGAGATGTCCCAAACTCTTGCAGCCTTTGGACATTGAAAGAAAACATGCTCCACTGTTTCAGGAGCTTCCCCACAACTGTGGCAAATAATATCCAGGTCCATTCCCCTTTTTGCTGGATTTGTTTTAACAGGCAAAACTCCAGACAAGCATCTCCAAAGAAAATGTTTGATTTTAGAATTGACTTTCATCTTCCAGCATTTGGAGAACATGTTATTATGGGAGTTACCTGCATTGTTGCTGCTGCTAAGGATGTTTAAAGACAGAAATTTTTGTCTAAATAAGTAAGAATATGTGTTGGATACTGTGAAATCCCCTTTTTTGCTAAACTTCCAATAGTGCCTGTCTTCCTGCCCTGGCCTCAGAGAATTAATCTGAAGAATTGCAGCACTATCTTCAGCATTGTACAACTGTTCCACAAGCCATTTGTTCCAGCTATTATCATCTTCATTTATAAGTTCTCTAACCCATATGATATGTCCTCTGGCTAGTTCCATGAGCTGTGGTTTAGGTTTCATAAGGCTAGGCACCCAGTTCACATCTTCAAGCCTTGTTTTTTCTCCATTCCTGATTTCAGTAGCAAAGCCTTTGGCAAAGATTGGGAGAACCTCTAGCCAGTTTGACCATAACCAAGAACAATTTTGGGTTTTGACAGCTTCAAAAATAGAGCAATAAGGGTAATACCTGTCTTTCAGTATTCTACTCACAAGTAAATGTGGCTGAGTGGTTATCCTCCAAAGTTGCTTGCATATCAGGGCAGTGTTGAAATTTTTTATATCAATGAATCCCAGCCCTCCTGCTTCTTTTGATAAGGTCAGATGGCTCCATGCTTTCCAATGAATGCTTCTACTTTGATCTTCCTTTTTGCTCCACCAGAAAAGAGAGCAGAGCTTTGAAATTTCAGCACATAAAGTGGCAGGAAGTCTGAAACAAGACATAGAATATATTGGCAATGATTGAATTACTGCTTTTAGTAGCACTTCCTTGCCTGCTTGAGAAAGTAGCTTTGATTTACAACTGTGAAGCCTTGATTTGACTGAATCTAATATAAATTGAAAGGCTTCCCTTTTGGATTTAGCAATTCCTAGGGGAAGCCCTAGGTACCTGGTAGATTTGTGAGCAGTTATGCCTTGCAGGGTATGGCATATTCTTTCTTGCAGGTAGTCAGGTGTATTTCTGCTGAAAAAAATTGTTGACTTCTGCATATTGACCATTTGCCCTGTAAATAGTCTATATCTTTCCAGGAGGTTGAGAAGAATGATTGCTTGATCATTACTGGCCCTGCAAAAGAGTAGTGAGTCATCTGCAAAAAGCAGATGGGAGATAACTGGACCATTCTTTGATATCTTCAATCCCATTAGATCCCCTGTTTCAACAGCATTAGTGATTAAAGCTGAAAGCATTTCTGCTACTATTATGAATATATATGGGGATAAAGGATCTCCTTGCCGAACTCCCCTTGTTGGGGTTACATAACCACTCACTTCGCCATTTATTTTAAAGGAAAATGTGCTAGAGGAAATACAGACCATGATAAGATGCACAAACTCCCTCTGAAAACCCATTTGCAACATAATTTTCTTTATACAAAGCCATTCAACTCGATCAAATGCCTTGACCAAGTCCAGTTTTAAGGCCGTAAAGTGATTTTTCCCAGATGAATGCCTGTTCAGAAAATGAAATGCCTCTTGCCCTATAATGATATTATCAAATATCTGTCTGCCTTTGACAAATGCAGATTGAGTCAAACTGATGCAAGAACCCAGACAGGATTGTAATCTCAAGGCCAGGATTTTTGAAAGAATTTTGTACACAACGGTACAAAGGCTAATTGGCCTAAATTGAGAAAGAGTTTCTGGATTTGAAGTTTTAGGAATTAGAGTTAAGACAGTATGATTCCAGTATTTTAGCAGAGAACCATTTTCATTGAAAAAATTGGACACTGCTTCTGTAAGATCAGCTTTGATGATATCCCAAAATTTTTTATAAAATAAAGCCGTCATACCGTCTTCTCCCGGAGCTTTTTCTGGATTTAGACTGAAGAGTGTTGTTCTGATCTCTTCTTCATCCACTTGTTTGAGCAGGGACTGATTATCCTCTGTGGTGATTGAAGGTTTGATCAAATGCAACATTGAGTCACCTCCCCATGACCCTTCTGATGAGAATAAGGTTGAATAGAAATCAACAATGTGAGCTTTAATCTGCTGTGGGGTTGTGCATTCTCTGTTTGTGTGTATGAGCAGCCTCGTTATTGCATTTTGTTTTCTCCTGGATAGTGTATAGGCGTGGAAGAATTTTGTATTCTTGTTTCCTTCTTTGAGCCAATGAACTCTGGCCTTCTGTTGCCAAAAAATCTCTTCCATCTTGTAGGCCTTTTCCAGTTCTTTTCTGGTGGAGTTCCAAGCTTCCCAGTTTTCATTGATTTTATCTTCTTGAAGAGCTTCTAACTTCTTTGTAAGGCTGTCAATTTGAGACTGGTTCTGAGTTTTAAAATTGGCACTCCATATTAATAGAGCCTTCCTAGTGTTTTTAATCTTCTCTTTAAGCTTGTAGAATGGAGTGCCATGTGTGGGGATTAGCCAGGCTTTTTGCACCACCTCCTTGATGCCTTCTTTGGATAGCCATCTCTTATCGAAGTGGAACCTGCTCTTTGTTTTCCCTTGCTTATTTCCTGTGGTGAGGAGTATCATGGAGTGATCTGAACCACTTCTTGCCTTAGTCAAGATAGATGCATTGGGGAATTCAGCCATCCAGTCCATTGAGCCAAATCCTCTATCTAGGGCTTCTTCTACCATGCCCTCAGAGCTTCTGTTATTGCACCATGTATATCTGTAGCCCACCATTCTGATTTCTTCCACCTCCATGGCTTCAATGAAGTCTCTAAATCCTTGCAAGCTTCTCTCAGATCTTGGGATCCCTCCTTTCTTGTCTTCTCTGCTCAGTAAATCATTCCAGTCACCGATTATAAACCATTTTGATCCCCAACTAGCTTTGTCCCTTTCCAGCTGCTTCCATTGATCATGCCTAGTTTGTTGACAGGTATTGATATATACAAAGATCCCCCAAGCTTTTTCTGTGTTTTGGTGTGAGTACTCCACCGCAATGTAAAAGTCAGTGTTCATTATTTGATGGATGTGTACCTCCAATGACCACATCAATAACAATCCCCCACTGCTGCCAATAGGATTAACTATCAAGCATCTGTTATCAAATCCAAGCTTTCTGACCACTGTTTTGACAAAACCAGCTTGCTTTTTTGTTTTTGAAAGGAATACAAAGGCTGGGTGGTGAGTCCTGCATGACTCTCGTATTTGGGAAACTGTAGAGGGCCCACCCAGCCCTCTACAGTTCCACACCGCAGCTAACATCGTTCACTTGGGTGCCACTCAAGGCTGGCCACCCCCACCTGTGTAGTTGAGTCTTTCCTTTTCTTTCTACCTTCTGAGTGATTCTGTTGGGTTTCATCTCCTAGGTCTGTGATTGATATTTCAGATGCTGCTCTGTTCCTTTTGCCACTGGGGAGTAAGTTGTGTTGAGTTGGATTGTCTTCTTGCCTTATTAATCTTCCTTCATTTGCTGAAGATCTCTTCCACACCTTAGTCTTTCCTTTTATTAGAGACATGGCTGTTTGTGATGTTTCTGGCAAAGGCAAGTATGTTTCAATGTCCATGGCTTTTGGTATTTCAATTGGAGGGTTAGGGAGTAGCTGTGTGTCATGTGGGAGTTCTTTGGTATCTCTGTGATTATTGGTTGATTTATGAAGGATAATGGCAAGGGTTTCTGAACTATTCGAAGTTGTTTCAGTGAGATTTTTGTGGTGAAGGGCTTCTGATGGTTGTGTTTGATGGCTTTCTTCAATTTGACTGCTGGATGTTGGTATGGCTGTTTCCTTAATTAGAGAAGAAGTTTTATCTGACCTCTGTGGGCTTCTTGAGTCTGATGCGTTGATCCCAGCCCAGTGATAGCCATCTGCTGCTCTCATCCAGTCCCCGTATTCCCCTTCCTTTACTGAGTTATTGTGGATATCATCCATTCTTTTTGTACAGCCCCGCTCTAAGTGTCCAATGTAGCCACAATAGTGACAATGGTTGACTAATTTCTCATATTTGAAGCCTGCATTAACTGTTTGGCCTCCTAGTCTCAAATTAACACATCGTGGTAAAGCTTCTTGCAAATTAACTGAAACCAGCAGCCTTAATATTCGACCCCCATGATTTTCAGCTCCAACCACGACAACATTATGTACTGTTCGGAATACCGTCCCTATTTTTAATCCTACTTCAGTGCTGAGCCAGTTTAAAGGGACATTGTATACCTGAACCCACAGCTTCAGTTCTTGAAAGGCCTTGTGTTTGCTTGTGAGGCCTTGTTGCCATTCTGTAAGAACTAGGTATTGATTTTCAAATACCCAGTTAACTCCTTTAGCTACCTTTTCTAAATCGTCACGACTTTGGAAAATGAATTGAAAGAAGTTGTCCCCAAGTTCTTTGATTTCCATAGTTTGTTGCAGTCTCCAAATTTGGGACATCGTGCGTTTTACTCCTATCCAGTTTGCCTTTCAGTCACCGATGATTTTTCTGAATAGGCTCCTGTGACATTCTTCATCACTGACTCTGATATCGTCTTGAACTATGTCGATGAAATTGTTTTCTCGAACTGAAAGTGAGACGCTTTTCAATTTTTGGGCAAGTTCTTCATCTTGCCCTATGCAGTTTGCTGAACTCATAATTAGTCGGGAACCCTAGTCCCGAGTTATAAACTTGAATCTCTGAGCAAGGAAGGATCTGCAGATTAAGGATCGAACTCAAAATCAGAAAGTGAGGAAAGATTTGTAAAAATCTGGAGAAAAATTGATCACTGAAAATGCTCTCCGTCGAGAGAATGGAGTCGCTCTCCTTCGAGAGAATTCTTAGTAATAAGATTTTATGTTAGATTCAAATTCAAAAAAATTCAAGCTAGATATCCAGATTTTCAGTTCTGATTAGTACTTTGTACATTGTATTTTTCAGTTTCTAGTTTGTAGTCGAGATGGACTTAGGCTTAAGTTTAGCATGTGCGAGGACGGAAATATTTTAAGGAGGATAGATGTAAGCCCCAACCCAAAATTATATATTTAGCTCGACTTTATTTATCAAAAATAGTAAATTATTAATTATGCGGAGAATTATTAGTATTAATCGCATAATTTATTAAATTTCAAGTCTAAACCATGGAGAGAACATTCGGATTATTATTTTGGAAACGAGATAAAAATCTTAAAGTCTAAGTCTCGATAAAATACTTTTATCGAGTATTAGAAATGTCGAGAATTTATTTTAATTCCCGAGCAAGCCCAATTATTTAATTATCGGGCCCAACTAGTTTAAAGCGAGACATTTTAAATCCTAGCCGAATATTCTTAGTTATTTAACCCGGTTAGTATTTTAAATAATCGGACCAAGTAGTATTTAATGTACAAGCTAAAGCCTAATTTGAAGCTCAAATCAAGATTAAATTGCAAGCCCAATTTCTGGGCCCAAAAATGTGACCAAACCCTAGTTTTTTTCACTCACTATAAATACACCACACATTGGGATCAGATGTAGGCGCAACAATGAAACTCCCATCTCAAATTTTCCTTCCCAAACAATAGCTTTCACATTATTGTAATAATAAAAAAAAGAAGAAAACATAGAAAGCAGAGAGAAAGAGAGAGAGACAGAGGCTTCTTCTTCATCTTGTTCTTCCACCCTCCACCTTCAAATCCAGCGCCACCTACCAGCAGCTCCGGCGAGCCGCCGCCCGACGACCTTCACACCGGCGAGCAGTCCTCGCAGCCGCCACCACGAGCCCTAAAACCCACAACCAAGCTCAGTCCCACAGGCCCCTGTTTCAGCCCCTTCACGCTGCCCTCACGCAGCTTTTCTGGCGAGCCACCTCCTCGTCGCGACTCTCGGTCCGTTCGACGTCTAGCAACTCCTACCATCGTTCCCCGCCGGTCAAAGTTCGTCTTTTTGAGCTGAAGCACGTCGACGGTGAATCAGTAAAAACTTGCCGCCTTTCACAGCTCCGGCGACCACCTCCACGATGTCAAACCTTCACCCCAACGAGATCAGCGCCAACAGCTTCATTTTCCGACGAGCTTCTCCCGTTGCCGTCACTTGCAGCTCGAGCCGACGTCTCCATTTGTCCGACGAGCAGCTTGAGCTCAACCTCGCTGTTACTGCTCACGTCGCCGACAACCGAGCTTCCCGTCGAGTTCGAGTTTGCACCTCCACCTTGCAGCTCACCACCGGCAGCTTCATCCCCGATCCACAGAAACCATCCTCGATCCGCTCGCGAAGACCCGTAAGAAGCTCAAATCTACACTCGGGTACGTCCGTACCAGCCACCTAGCCTCGATCTGTGCAAACTCGAGCCATCTCTGACCAGACCTGAGGCCCTCGGCACAGAATAGAGCATCTTAGCTCAAATCCGAGCCTCTTAGCTCAGCCCGACCCGAGTACGAGCACAATCGGGTCGTTTCCTCGCCATTTTGATTTTTTCAACTTCCGATTTAAACCCTTCGAGAGGTATAATGGCTAAAACTTGAGTTATGTGGCTTAGACTTGATAATTATAATGAGATAAGAGATAAAAGATGATTTATTTGAGTGATTTTTAGAAAAATCAGGACATTTGAACTTAAAGCGATTTTTCGGGACTTTTGATATAGTCGTGATAAAATACCGAAATAAATATGATAAGATTCTCCCTGTTGACTTGAGGCTTAAGATATAATCGTATCAATTTTTTATGTCCGTTTGATAGGCGAACAAGCGGTTCGAGTAAATTTCAGTCGTAGTAATTTCGGGTTAAAAGTGATAAGTGTTGACTTGAGACTTGATCTTTTGACCTTGGACTTTATTCATGTTGAGGAGATTATATGTTAAGTTTCGTGATTTTTGGTGCCCGTTTACTATTTTATCCGGATTTATTTAGTATGTAGTCGAAATGCTCGGTTTTTGAAAAAATGCTAAAGACCTCGAGATGCGTTGAAATTTTATGAAAAAAATCTTATAAATGCTAAAAGTGTTATGTTTAAAATTTCATAAATTTTGGAGACTATTTGATATGCCTAATAATTTGAGGCTTTAGCTGCTTTTATTAAAAATAGTAGATATTATGCCGGTTGAGAATTAGCTGCAGTTGTTGGGCCTAAAATCACTAGAAATCACGTTAAACTTAGAGTTTGAGTTTCGGTTTGAACCGAGATAGATAGCCAGTTGAGTAGAGAACCCCAGTTCGGCCTTTTCCCGGTCAGACCGGATGAACTCTAGATTCGAGTAGAAAAGTTGTGCGTCGGTTGATGTCCTGTCCGTGCGTATGTACCTGGACCACGGTTAGACTGAGTTGCACCAAGTCAGACTAGTATCCGACCAGTTCAGATCGAGCCGCCGATCGAGATCAGTCGAAGAAGTCTGAACAGTCTGGACGATTCGAGAATAGCAGTTCAGAATACCGGTTTGAGCGTGAATCGAGATTCAGTATTTTTCCAAACCCAGTCAGATAAGTCAGATCAGAATAAGCTAGGTCAGATAAAAATCAGATCAGTCAGATAAGCTAGATCACATAAATCAGTCAAGCAGACTAGACTTAGAAATATTCCAGAGAACTCTAGAATGCCTCAAAGTTAACAAATCTTTCCAAAATAGCTCAAGTCCTCTAAATTCAGATTAAATAATTTTATAATTGAGCGAGAGAACCTAACAAGATCAGATAATAATAAGAATAAAGTTTTCAGTTTGAGCTTAGTAATTAGTACTTTCTGCTCAATAATTTGTGTAGCTTAAGGAGAGTCGATCATCGACAGCTACCATTCAGCCAGCACTTGCATCAGTAGCAGTTTACCAGGTGGGGGTCACGTACTGGTTATACATCGTCTTTAATTTTCGTACCATGTCTGAGGTATGTATGAGAAATAGTTAGTTCACCATGAGGGAGGCCGTGGCGGGCCTTAAAGATCCCCCGTGGTTCAGAGGGAGGCCTTAATTGGCCTTAATGATCCCCCGGAGTGTGCACATGATTGGCTTTTAAGCCCAGGGTCTTTATGACCACTAGATGCCCAGTTACAATTTCAGTTCAGATCAGTTCTTATATACTTAAAGTCATGATATTGTTATTAACGATGTTGTATAATTAAGTACTGGTCTTTGCGGAGCATAGTGGTTTTGCTCACTCCCCCATTACGTTTTTCAGGTGACGGAGAGGCGTGTGGCGCGTGAGATTTCAGTTGTGGTCGTGGTCATTTCTTTTGTAACGCATTTACATGTCATTTATTGAACATGTACTATTATTACTATGCGTAGACATATTATGTTTCAG